GAAAAGGATTTATTTGAAGGAGCAGGTGTCCTGCTCCTGGCCATCTCTGAGACTTGCGGAGGCTCCTGGTCCCACCAGAGGAACTGCAGAGCTGAGCAGACCACAAGCCAGCACAGAGCCCCAGAAGAGTCTTGAGGGTGTGCCGAAATAATCCCTTCTTAAGTATTTACGAGGCAATAAAGAGTTAGCATGATCTCTAGCAATCCATCTGACTAATCTAATTTTCTTCCTTGATGAGGTGCCCGGCGGGATGTTCAGAGAGCAGCAGCAGATGGGATGTGTATTCAGGATGTTTTCCAACACTGTCCAACACGATCTTCTCATGAACCAAATGCAGACAGGGTGGATTGACATTAACTGGGATGAGGTAGATGCAAAATTTGTTGCAAAAGCTCTCTTGTGGGGTTATTTTTCTTTGATATTTTCACTCAGTGTTTGAATGATGAAGTAGAAGGTAACTGGTGTGAGCTGCAGGTGAGACCAAAGGCCTCTAGGCATCCCAAGGACAGGGCTGAAACTTAAAATGAGTTTGAGAAGCCGGAGAGCAAATCCAAACTCTACAGGCAGGAAAAGACCAGGGAATTGGGGCAGGCTGCAGTTTTTGAGGAGGAAGCACCAACTGCACAGAGGGTAACGCAGATGCTCTGCTGAGGAGGCTGTGGGGACAGAGCTGCTCTAGGATGGACCYGTCTGAAAAGCAACGTTTTAGCCAGGCTGCTGGGCAGATCTGCTAGTAGACACATATCTTGTATTTTGTAGGAGTTTTGGTTTCTTTTCAACTTCCCACCATCTCCAGAAGGAGAAGTGTTAGACATGGGGGTGGAGAAGGGCAGGAAGCAATAGTACAAGTGCAAAATAGTTTGTCTGAGGACCAGTCACAGAGATTTGAACTTTGCAGGCAGAAAGAGAAAACTGAAGAGGTCTCAGGTGAGGCCTGCCGTCCTCTTTGCCCTAAAGAGAAAAGTGACTGTGGAATGATGGTAACTGTGCAGTGGCAGATGCCAGCTAAGAAACCAAACTGAAGAAAGAACCTTTTCTTGATATTTGTAAGCCAAATCGGSCAGGACCTGCAGACCAGGAGGCCACAGGGTTCCAAAATGCAATCAGAGGAATTAGTGGATRAAGAGCCCACCTCCAACCAGGGATGAGCACCGTGTGTCCCACCACAACCGGGGATGAGCTCAGAGCTGCGGCTCGACGGAGGCTGTGGGTGCCGGGGTGAGCTCCTGGTGTAACGTGTCTGTGCCAATCCCCCTCTCTGAGCAGGCCCACGGGCTGCTCAGTCCCGCAGCAGCCCGGCCCATATGGGAAGCTGTGTCTTATTTACGCTTTTTTTACGTAAAGTGGACTTTGTATAAATGGGAACAAGATTCAAGTACTGAACTTGCACAATAAAGTGAAAAGAGCATTTCCCTTTGGGCTAAACGCTTGGGTTTGTTCCGTGGTGAGTTTTGGCAGAACGTCTTTGCAAAYTGAAGATCCCCTCCTTTGATTTTTCCCCTAAATCATTTTAATAACGGGTCTCTCTCCCGCCATGACCTCCCACCCGGCCATTATGTCTCGATGTTTACAAGAGTTGATGGAAGAGCCGGCCAGAAGTTGGGAAAGGCTCCGTTTCCACAGCGCTGGCAGACGTTCGCAGCTCACCGCCGGTGCCTCCTAAGGCGCGTGAAGAAGAAAGACTTGCTCAACATCCTAATAAACACAGAACGAGCAAGGCCATGGCTTAAGCGTTAGCTGGCTTAAGGCTCCGGAAAGTCCCTTCTCACTGCAGGCCTCCACGCTCATCCGTTCCCTTGCTCGGGCTACGCTCGGAGTCGGCCKCTGTGGTGTATTTGGAAGAAGCTGCTGTCCTCCATGGAAAGCGACTTCAACATTTGGACTGAATGGATGTCAACTCCATTCTGTCAGGGCAAATCCTCCTTTAACAAGGAATACACTTTTTCACTCAAGTGGGGTGGTTTCTTCAGATTCTTGACTAAAAAGTGTTCTTTAGTGACGAAACCCTCCTGCCTTTTTTCTACCTTACATGGTCGATTTGGTCAAAGTCTTGATGGAACCGGTGGCCCCAAGGACCAGCCAAGCAAGGACAAGAGCAGCCAGGTTTGTAACCATGTTTGGGTCCCATATGATGCAGAGTCTGGAGGGTTCTCCAACACTGGAAGAGACTTAGATGTCCTGGGGGTCCCAAGAAGGTACTCGTGGCACTAAGGACCATGGCCTGTCCTGCCACTGCCCTGTTATTTATTCTCCACTCTGTGGCACCTGCCCATGGAGAGGTCTAGGCCTTCCTAYGCCCTCTGCTTCTGCGTGGTTTATCAAGCACAGATGTGATTGAATGTCCGCGCCACCACAACAGGCACACTTTCCAAAAYAGCTTAGATCGCTCCTTTTGAATTTCAAATTTCCAAGGCTTTTTTATTATTTTTCTTTGAAAGATTTTAGTGAAGCTCAAGTCCCCCTTTCTCCCCTCTCCCTGCTCAGGTTGATCCTAGTTCATATTAGTATTGRTTAAAATAGCAAACAAATCAACCCTCAAAACCAAAGGAAAACTCCAAACCCAACTGACTTGGCCTCAAGGTAAGATGGAAGCCTCTGCAGACCAGGAATACGGAGACCTTTCAGGAATGGGTGGGCTCAGGTGGGGAAGCCCATGAGGAGCTGGTGGGACACAGGCTGCCCCCCAATTTCACGACTTGGGCGTCAGCTTYTGCATCAGCTTCTGCGTCAGCTCCTTTCCAAGCTCGCTTCCAAATCCCAGGGCTGCTTCCAGCCCCTTGCTCCGGTCCAGGCTCACAGAGGTGGTTTTTCCACCGGCAGTTTCCCGTGGTTGCCACAGGCCAGGCGGGAGGGAGGTGTCCRTGTGTGCACGAGCAGCTCATCCACCTCCTTCCTTTATGACAGGGGGTACTGCCCCGGGCAGCAGCATCCCGAGCCCCGGGAAAGGCGCCCGGGGCCCTCGGCCACCCCAGGGCTGGAAATGAACTGCCAGAGCAGGGATACAAATTCAAAAATCTTAATTTATTGTAAATTCTCCTCTCATCTGTGCTGCAATTCCAGTGTTCTGCACATTAATAAATACACATTTGTTAAAAAAAAAGCAACCCTCCAGTGTCTAATCTGCCATAAAGCTTTTAAAAAGTCATAAAAATAGGTTTTAATTTTTTTTTTTGTCATTATTACAAGTGACCCTCATTTACTGCGACAATTCTGATCAAAATAAAAACTACCTACATCTCACTGGGACAAAATATACATACACAGATGTAAAAACAGCTACCACGGGTTATACACAATGTCTGAGCACACAGCCACGTGTCAGACACTTTAAACATTCAAAATTTTTTTTTCAATCAGAAAATTTCACACATTATGCTGCATTTTTTTTAAGGAACACTCTCCCTCCTCCCTCCCCTTCCAAAGGCCTCTTAAGTACATTTACAAGTGCACAGGAATATAATAAAGCCAAGGTTACCGTACGCTTTATTTCATTTTTTTTTTTTTTTGCTAAATTCCTGCATTTTAAATGCCTGATTTTCTGGTTGTTCCCTTTCAAACACACATTCAGAAGAAGAAAAGATGCTCTTCTTCTAAAGCAGCTGCTGGGAGGAAAGCCTGGCCCGGAAACCCCTCAGTGGCACCTTGTGCTCTGGGTGTCCCTGCTGGAGCAGGCGGTTGGACTGGATGMTCCCTAGGGGTCCCTTCCCACCTCAACCATTCCAGGATTCTGTGACCAACACGGGCACCCTGAGGATCCGCTCTGAGCCTCATTATTCCCCCCGGAGGGGAACAAACAGCCCTTACCCCGTGCAGGACCCCGCAGCCCTTGGGGGCACCTCGGAGGCACCGGGCTGGGCAGGACTCGGCCAAGCGCCGGGAATCGAATCCCCAGCAGCTCCCAGACATCCGTGTTGCTGCCGGGGGCCAAGTGCTGGYGGCAGCAGGAGAGAGAGTAAAAGCAAAGCCAGGAAAAAGCTAAAACGGAGCCTTGCGCAGAGCTTGTCCAACGGGCAGGGGGAAGGAGGACCTCTCCTTGGGACACTCCATGGCTGGTTGGGAGCAACAAAGCCAGGGAAACCTGCTATATAAATACACCCTACAGGGTCTGCTTGTTTGGTTGGTTGGTTTTGGTAAGGGAAATATTGATTTGGCTTCTTCTGTGCATGGACTGTGTTGAAATCCTAGAACTTCAGAACCAAAAATAAGTCGTAACTTAGTCTGTTTCTAAACATTTCAGTGCACTCGAGAGAAAAGGCCAGAACATCATGAAATTAAGAAACAGAACATACTTTTGTTGGTTGTAGAAGAGGTTATGAAAAAAMCATACCGTGTCCTTAAAATATTTCATAATCTGGCAACAAAACTTTAAAATTATGTAATTTAGATGTAATCTTTGCTGTATTTCTTTGACAACTGCATTGCATCTTAAGGTGGCTTCCATGCAAACTTCAGTTACTTTATCAACCGCCCAATTCAAGTAAAATTGTGCAATGTTCATATAAAAAATATCAAAAGCTCTTTCAATCATTTTCCTATTATCAAATTAAGAAGATCAGTATAAATGTAAAATATACAAAGGAACTTTATCATCACCATACAAAATATATAAAAGTATCTACACTTTTTATATATATATAAAGGGCTTTTATTTTAAGACGAGATGTCCATCGAGGGGGTGGCTGGAGATGCTGGCGTAGGAATGAAGGACACTTGGTGGGACATCTCTCCAGGCCGAACGGGTCGCGCCGCAGCGGGACGAGGCTTCGCGAGCGGCGTCTCCCGGGGCTGGCCTTAAGGCTGGTGAGTGGCCGTGGGTCGTTCCCAAGCGGGAATGTCCTTTCCCACTTTCCTCCGTGGTGCCTGCTCGCGGGGCAGTCCTTGCCGCGGGTTTTGGCACCGGCCGCCGTAGCGGGAGGCCCCGCGGGAACCAGCCCTGCCCTGGTCCTCCTCCCCGCGCGGCAACTCCGCCAAATCCGGCCTCCCGGGAAGCGGCACCACGGGAAGCAGTCCCGGAGGCAGCGGCCATCACGGTTTCCTGATGGTTCAAATTGAAGTTTCGTTACTGCCTCTGTTCGTGAGAAGAAGCAATCATGCAGGCTTAGGGTTAGACAGACACGGGCAAACWGCTCCTACAGCTACTTAGCACTTTTTAGAAAGGTCTCATGCTCTGGAAGTGATAGGGAGCTGGGAATGGTCTGCAGACCCAAGGACAAAAGGAGAGCCTAAAACATAGGGGGGCAATGTCAGACATAGGAGTCAGGTGAGAAATTTTCTATTGGATTGGAGAAAGAATTATTTGTGTTAATCAAAGGAAGGCTACATACATAAAATACTTAGGGTGATTTTGCATTAAAGGCTGTTGTCCTCATTTTGAACGTTAAGAATCATGAAGAGTAATGAGGATTCTGAGGACATCCTCAGCATTTAGGTAACGTTTAGTTTGTAAATATGCACCCATGTCCACACAGCAGCTACCTCAGCTGGCAAATACAGAGACAGGAGCTGCCCAGGGCACTTTTCTGAGAGGCTTTTGCATCCCCTGCCCTGGCAAAGCCCTTGCTCTGCCCGGCTGGTGCCCACCCCCTGCTCCCCTGGCCGACTCCTTTGTCCTGCAGTACAGTGGGCTGCTTTGGAGGAGCTTGTTTGTTCTTCTGGCTAAGGAAGCCAGAGGCTGGGTGAGCACCAAGACGTTCTGCAAGGTGTTTGCCCCCTTATTCTCCTTCTTGGGTGCCTGCCACCAGCCAATTTTACTGGTACCTGATGAGTGATGGGTCCCAACCACCCTGAACACCCTCCTTGCTGCAAAAAGAGACTTGGGGATAAAAGCACATGTTCCAGGGGTGCCAAGGGGTGAGATGGGACACTTGAAGGTGTCAAGGGGGTTGGGAGCTAAGTAGGTTGGGTGCAGCAGGGCTTCCTGAGGGCACACGTGGTCAATGCCATGAGGTCCATTCTATGGGGAAGGTGATGCTGGCAATTTGTGTCAAACACAAGGAAACACAGGTTGCTCTTGTGCATGGCACGCCAGCAACACCCAGCTTGCCCATTCAGAGCATGCCAGGCTGGTCAGGGGCAGGTGTCTACCGAGGCACCTGGCCCATGACACTGGATTTTGGCCTTCTCACCTGTGCAGTACCRTGGCTGGGGACACTCTGTGGGAAAGCAAATCACTGGTGAAGGGCTCGAGCCCAGGCACCAGCTGAGATCCTGGCAMACGGAGGAGTTTGGGGCGGGAATGCAGAGGGAGAAGCCACAACTCCAGGAGGTCTGTCAGGGTATCCCTGTGTGGCACTTACTCTGAGTCAGAGGTGTCGGCGTGTCCCGCGGCCACGTGGAGGCTCATGGCCACGCCGTTGAGCTGATCCCGAGGCTGCTCCCTCCGGAGATTCTTTACGGTCACCCCTGAGTCTGAGGGGGGCCGGACCCCATCTCCAGCCCCCAGGGAAGCAGTCCGGGAGGGCAGCGACGTCTGGTTGTAATCCGACAGCTTCTCCCGCAGCCGGTTCTTCATGTTCTTATCCATCAGCGGGGGCGGGTAGGTGACTCTGTTTTTTAAGATGCCTGTTACAGAAAAGGGAGGAATATTGAGAATTTTGAAGTGCACCAATAATCTATCAAATTTATTTGATTTATCAGACTGAACACATCCAAAAAGTGATATTTTTTGTTCCTTAATCAGACTTTTAGTCACATTACTTTAAAATAAATGGATTAGATCTTGCCAGCCCGAGTATGTACYAGACACGGGTCTCAAATCCATCTCSTGTGGGCCCAAGAGCTGAGGCACCTCTGGAGCACAGGCCATGGTGCTTCAGAAACCCGCGTGGAGCAGCCCCTGTGCAATGTGCCAGGGGCCTCTCTCCGTCCCCAGTTCAGCTCTTTGTCCCCCGTGTGACGGGCTGGTCACGTTACCTTTCCTCTGCTCTGGCTGCTGGTTGTTCTGGTGGGACAGAGGCCTGTTCTCCTTCTGCTGCCCCTCGTTCTCCTTGTCCTGAGGGGCCTCGTTGCTGTGGTTCACTTGGTTCTCCCTGTGGAGCTCTACGTTGACCTTGGTCTCCACTTTGAGCTTCTGCTTCCCGCCGGGGTCCTCCGCGTCGCTGGCCGAGATGCACTCTGTGGGCCAATAGGGTTTCACATGATTGGGAAGGGGATCAACTGCAATGCAAAAAAACACTGGCTCGAAAACCACTGTGTGACAGGGACCGAAACCAAAGGGTCCCAAGGGGGCAAAACCCCTGAAATGTCACTGCCTGTCACAGCAAGTCGGAGCTTCAGGGCTGGCCAGC